GGACTGTTTCTCCTCTTCCTAGAAAAGTGACCCTAATCAAGTTGGCTAGATGTAGGACAGGGGAACTTGTGCAAACCCTGGTATGAATAAAGAAAGTAGACCTGAGATCCCTGGGAGAGATGTCAGTCTTCTGGATGGCTTCTTTGTCAACATTCTGGAAATGCTGACAAGGCATTGGGATTAGTTCCTCTGACACAGGGTCTGCTTGGCATCTTCATTGCATCTGCAAGGATGGGTCTAGCCTACAAATTAAAGCACCATGTTTGGAGGGGAGAGATGGTTGGGTGCCTGTCGGTATCTCAAGCAGCCACCCTGCCTTCAGGGACCAATAAGGATGAACTCTTTGTCTTGCAGCTGTTGGGCCCTGGTACTCACTATCCCGGCTACAACACTTCTAGGTAGTTGCCACATTATGGCTTCCACATGGTCTGCCCCCTCCAACCCTCCTCTCCTCCCAGTTAGGTCCTAGATAGCAATCCTGTGTCCCAGTGAGACCCAGTGGGGGGTTAAAGGAATGCATTTCCATCCTGTACTTTGAATCTCTTTGGCCAAAAGGAAATTCTACTTTTCCCCCAAAGAACAGAAGAAAAATGACTCCTAGAATGATAGAGTTGGATGATTTAGAGGTTTCTTGAGATAATTTAAGATGTAGGTTCTAGCTCTCATAGCACCATTGATTAGCAGAGAGCTATTGAACAATTTAAATTAATTTGTCAACCCAGTCAACTAACTTTGAGTGATTGTCTTGGTCAGGTGCTGAGCTATGTGTCTGGGAGGCAAAGCTGACCAAAGAGAATGTTTTACCTTCATGGACTATATGTGGAGATAGACCAACAGTCCCCCCAGTTTATTATACCATAGGTATGTAGTGAAGTTGGTATGATGAGGGGAACCCCAGCAGAGGACCACCTTCTGTGGGCTCGTTTCCTCATCTGTGTGTTGAGTGTGTGGTACCACATCATAAAAGGAAGGTAAAGGGGACTCTGATATGCCTGTTATGGTCAGACTTTGAGAAGGAACTTGGACCCAGGTTGGGTTCCAAAGCAAATGCTGAGCAGTGGTTCTTAAACTCTGGGGCACTTTAGAAATAGAACTAGAGGCTCGGCGCCTATAGCTCAACCGGCTAAGGCGCCAGCCACGTACACCTAAGGTGGCAGGTTCGAATCCCCAGCCCGGACCCGCCAAACAATAATGATGGCTGCAACCAAAAAATAGCCAGGTGTTGTGGCAGGCACCTGTGGTCCCAGCTACTTGGGAGGCGGAGGCAGGAGACTCGCTTGAGCCCAGGAGTTGGAGGTTGCTGTGAGCTGTAATGCCACGGCACTCTACCCAGGGGGACAGCTTGAGGCTCTGTCTCAAAAAAAAAAAAAAAAAAAAGAAATAGAACTAGAGGCAAAGCTTATTTTAAAAGATAGATTACTGGACGCCAAACCCCTTTAGGTTTGGCGTAGGGTATCATAATCTGCATTTTTAAGAAGTACCTTGAGTTGATCCTGAGTACAGATGATTCATGGACCATGCTTTGAAAAAGACTGTTTCTAAATTCCTGACAACTGTGATATACTAAAATTTCCCCAAAGGTGAGTCATTTTCTTTGAGTTAGCAGAAAATGTGCTCACGATTGAGCCTAGATTTTGACTCTTCCCCTAAGGTGTGGAGTTCAACTTTTTCTCTGTGGGACCAGCCAATAATAATTTCCAGGCAGTCTGTTGGAAAGACTTGATTTAGATGTTTGGGGAGAAGTAGTGTAAAACTGTAATATGGAGTCTCAATAGTTTCCTAGCAGAAAAACACCTAAATGTTCTAGATAAGACAACAGTAAAAAGTCTGGGTTAACAGAATAAGCTTTGAGGCCAGTCTGCCTAAGTTTCAAATCTAAGCTTTTTCACTTAGCAACCTTGAGACCTGGGGCAAGTTACCTTACTTTTCCATGTCCCAATTTCCTTATGTCAAAATGCGACTGATAGTAATGGTAGGTACCAGAAAGGATGTCGCATGAGGCAAGTGAGTTAGTGCATACTGTGAGCACTTAGCCTGGCGCCCAGTGCTTATAGACAAGAAATATTACCTGTTATTAACAAAGCTGAGGGAACAAAGATCCCTAGGAGCTAGAAACCAAGAGGGAAATGAAAATTAGGAAAGTGAACACACAGGCTGTCCCTAATGGCCACCACAGATGGGCAGTGTTGGTGTTAGAGTTGGCCCTATTTACACAGAGGCTTGAGCCCTGAGACTGTTCACGTTCAGGGACAGAAACCCAAGTCTTGAGCCTGTGGGAGGTGGTGCATTGGCCCTGAGACTTCAACATAAAGCCAAGACCCTGAAGGACAATGTCCTTTAAACAACTGTAGAGCATAAAAATTCAATCTCTAGCATAGAGAACCAAGAAGTAGGCATGTTTATCTTGAACTGAACTCTAGGTCAGGAGGGGAAAATG